CCATAAAGCTTGCATAATGTCAAATATTGTCATTTGTTGCTGTCATCGTTATGACAATGGGAAAAACTATTGTAATTGAATAAATAAATTGTGAAAAAAATACAAAAATTGTGGCCTAAAAGTATGCAATACATTTGGAAGACCATAAAACTGCAGCCTGGAAGTATGCAAATAAAAAATATTTTATATAGATGTCACTGTTGGTGTCTGTGGCTAATATTCGGAGATGGTTGCGGAAATGAGTACTATATTTGTACGAAAAGTACTAAGTGGTACTAAATTTGGTACAATTTGGTATTGGTTGAACAGATAGTGCTGAAATATGAAATTTGATGTTAGGGTCGCTAATCATCTACGACCTGGACATATGGAGATGGTTTTGAACATGTCTACTATAATTGTACGAACAATACTAAAAAGTACTAAATTTGGTATTATTAAAATTCTGAAATTTGATATTTAGATTACTGATGGTATTTGTGGTTGAGATTTGCGGTGGTTTGGAATTGTTTACTATATTTTTCGTAAAAAATCCACGCCTATTATAGTCATTGAAAAAATATTCTTTTAAAATTCCACGCCTCTTGTAGTCGTGGAAAAATATTCTTTAAAAATCGATGCCCCTGCTGGTCCTTGAAAAAATATTTTTTTAAAAATCCATGTTTCTGCTGGTTCTTGAAAAAATATTCTTTAATATATCCAAGCCCCTTGAAGCCATTGAAAAAATATATATTTTTTTAAATCTACGCCTCGTGAAGTCATGAAAATAAATTCTTTTAAAAATCAACTCCTCTTAAATATAAAAGAAAAAATTTTCAAAAATCCACGCCTCCTGTAATCGTGGAAAACTATCCTTTAAAAATGCATGCTTTTTGAAGTCATTGAAAGAAAATCATTTAAAAATGTACTCCTCTTAAATATAAAAGAAAAAAATATAAAAAATCCACACCTCCTGTAATCGTTGAAAAAATATCCTTTGAAAATGCATGCCTTTTGAAGTCATTGGAAAAAAAAAAAAATCATTTAAAAATGTACGCCTTTATAGTCGATGAAAAAATATTCTTTTAAAAATATACGCCTTTATAGCTGTTGAAAAAAATATTCTTTTAAAAATCCAAGCCTCTGTTGGTCCCTGATAAAAGTCGCTAAAAGTCCTGAAGTCGCTAAAAAAATATTCTTAAGTCCCCGCCTTTGAAGTCATTGAGAAAAAATTTTTTTTTGAATCCCGGCCTTTGAAGTCATTGAGAAAATATTTTTTTTAAATCCTCGTCTCTGTACACACTTCTTGAAGATATTGAAAGATTTTTTTTAAATATCTACTCCACTCCTCTGGTCCTTGAAAAATATTTTTTAAAAATCTACGCAATTCTTCTGGTCGTTGAAAAAAAATTTTTAAATGTTGGGACTTGAAAAATATTTTTTTTTGAATCCACACCACTTGAAGTAATTTAAAAAAAATCTTTTAAAATTCTGCGCCACTCCCCTGTAGTTAAAAAACATTTTTTAAAGGCCACTTCACTGTTGGGACTTGAAAAATATATATTTTTTTTAATTCCACGTCTCTTGAAGTCATTGAAATAATTTTTTTTTTTAAAAATCCATGTCTCTTAAAATAATCCAAAAAATATTTTTTTTCAATTCAACCTTCTGTTGGTCCTTGAAAAAATATATATTTTTTAAAAATTTATGCCTCTTGAAGTAATTCAATTCTCTGTTGCGACTTGGAAAATTGAAAAAATATTTTTTTAAAAAATCCACGTTTCTTGAAGTCATTGATTTTTTTTAAATCCACGCTACTATTGTTCCTGAAAAAAATATTTTTAAGAAATCTATGCATCTTGTAGTCATTGAAAAAAATATACATATATATATTTTTTAATCCATGCCTATTGAAGTCATTGGATTTTTTTTTTTTAAATCCACGCCTCTTGAATTCATTGAATTTTTTTAAATCCACGGCTCTTGAATTCATTGAAAATATATATTTTTTTTAATCCACGTCTCTTGAATTCATTGAAAAAATATATTTTTTAAATCCACGCCTCTTGAAGTCATTGAAAAAATATATATTTTTTTAAATCCACGCCTCTTGATGTCATTGAAAAAATATTTTTTTTTAAATCCACGCCTCTTGAAGTCATTGAAAAAATATATATATTTTTTAAAAAAAATCCACGTCTCATGAATTCATGAAAGCAATATTCCTTGAAAATTCCTGAAAAAAATATTCCTTGAAAATTCACGCACCTTGAAGTCATGAAAAATATTTTCTTAAAATCCACCTCTACTTTGGTCCTTATTTTTTTTTAAAAATCTGGGAACTTTGTTGGGTCTTAAAAAATATTTTTTCTTAAAAATCCATGCTTCTGTCAGTCCTTGAAACGATATTTTTTATAACCCCCTTCTCTGATGGTTCTGAGAAAATATTCTTTAAAAAATCCACACCTCTGTTGGCCCTTGAAAAATATTTTTTTAAAAATCCACTCCTATGTTGGTACTTAAAAAAATATTTTTTTTAAATCCATGCTTCTGTAGGTTCTGAGAAAATATTCTTTAAAAAATCCACACCTTGAAAAATATTGGCCCTTGAAAAATATATTTTTTTTAAAACCCTACTCATCGAAAAAAAATATTTTTTTAAATCCATGGCTCTGTTGGTCCTTAAAAAATATATTTTTGAAAAATTACTTCTCTGATGGTTCTGAGAAAATATTCTTTAAAAAAATAGGTAGATCGACTTCACTCTTCGAGATATGAAAATCTTAGGTATAGGACAACCATTCCGAGGTGTTTAAAACTATTTGACCTAATCCAAATATATAGCCCCAGTGAAAAAAAATAAAAAAAATAAAAAAACCTTTTCTTTTGGCAAATTCGAAATGTCATCAATTTATGAAATAATCATCCAGAAATTTTATTTTCTGTAATTCATGCTTTTTTAGGGTATAAATAATTGTGTAGGATATAAAAATTGAACTTTATGGGAAAGTATTTAATCCCGAAGGATATTTTTTGTGAAATAAAATAAACATACTTGTCTATTACCAAATTCGAAATCTCATAAATTTATCAATTAATGCTCCAGAAATTTTATTTTATATAATTCATTTATTTAGGGTATATTAAATTGTAGTAGGGTTTAAGAAATTAGACTTTATGGTGAAGTATTAAATCCCAAAGGATATTCTTTAAAAAAAAAAATAAAAAAATCTTGTCAAAATTTGAAGTTTCATTAATTTTTGAAATAATTCTCCAGAACTTTTTTCCCCAATTCATATTTTTTAGGTTATAAAAAATTGTTGTAGGTTATAAAAATTGGACTTTATGGTGAAGTATTTAATCCCAAAGGATATTTTTTGTGAAAATAAAAAATTTAAAAAATCTTGTTTATTACAAAATTTGAAATATCATCAATTTATGAAATAATCCTCCAGATTTTTTTTCTGATTTATATTTTTAGGGCATAAATAATTGTTGTAGAGTATAAAAATAACACTTTATGGTGAAGTATTTAATCCCAAAGGATATTCTTTAAAAATAAAAAAATTCTTGTCTATAACAAAATTTAATTTAATTTCTGAAATAATTCTCCAGAAATTTTATTTCCCCCAATTCATATTTTTTAGGACATAAACAATGTTGTAGGGTTTAAAAATTGGACTTTATGGTGAAGTATTAAGTCCCAAAGGATATTTTTTGTGAAAATAAAAAAAATTAAAAAAAAAATCTTGTTTATTACAAAATTTGAAATATCATCAATTTATCAAATAATCCTACAGAAATTTTATTTTCTCTAATTCATATTTTTTAGGGCGTAAAAAAGTGTTGTAGGGTATAAAAATTCGACTTTATGGTGAAGTATTAAATCCTAAAGGATATTCTTCACAAAAATAAATAAATAAATAAATAAAATACAATTTTGTATATTACAAAATTTTAAGCTTCATTAATTTCTGAAATAATCCTCCAGAAATTTTATTTTCCCTAATTCTTATTTTTTAGGGCATAAAAAAGTGTTGTATGGTATAAAAATTAGAGTTTATGGTGAGGTATTAAATCCTAAAGGATATTCTTTATAAAAAAAAAACTAAAAAGAAAATATTCTTGTCTATTACAAAATTCGAAATGTTCTCAATTTATAAAATAATCCTCCATAAATTTTATTTTCCCTAATTCATATTTTTAGGGTATAAATAATTGTTGTAGGGTTTAAAAATTTGATTTTATGGTGAAGTATTTTACCCCAAAGGATATTTTTAACAAAAAAATTAAAAAATAAAGAAAATCTTGTTTATTGCAAAATTTAATTTAATTTCTGAAATAATCCTCCGGAAATTTTAATTTCCCTAATTCATATTTTTTAGGATATAAAAAATTGTTGTAGGGTATAAAAATTAGAGTTTATGGTGAGGTATTAAATTCCAAAGGATATTCGTTAAAAAAAAATTAAAAAAATAAAAAAATCTTATTTATTACGAAATTTGAAATATCAGTTTTATTTTCTCTAATTCATATTTTTTAGGGCATAAAAAAGTATTGTAGGGTATAAAAATTGGACTTTATGGTAAAGTATATATTCCCAAAGGATATTCAAAAAAATCATTTATTTCTGAAATAATCCTCCAGAAATTTTATTTTCCTTTATTCATATTTTTTAAGGCATAAAAAAGTGTTGTAGAGAATAAAACTGGACTTTATGGCGAAATATTAATTCCAAAAGGATATTCCTTATAATAAATATAAAAAATTCCAAATATCATCAATTTATGAAATAATCCTCCATAAATTCAATATTTCTCTAATTCATATTCTTTACATCCTCCCGGTATTGAATTCTATGATAATTTCTAATTATTTCTATTTAGTCATTAATATTGTAATTATGATTCTCGCTTCCTCTCTAAATGGCGTTTTAATTAATCCATTTGTTATTAATGACTATAAAATGCAAAAAAAAAAAAAAAAAACAATAAAAAAATATGAAAATAATAAATACTCACAATTAAAACAAAATTTTTCAGCGACATCATTGTTAACGTTGTTGGTGTTGTAGTTGTTTTTTTTTTTTTGTTATCAGCGTTTATGTTCCTTGTTCAAACGGCAGTAGGAGCAGCAGCAGCAGCGAATTTTTCAAAAATTAATTCCACTTATAAACACAAAATCCACACTCTTATATTTCAATATAAAAATAATTGCTATAAATGAAAATATGTATTAGAAAAAATATTTTATTTGAAAAACCAAAAAAAAAGAAAAAAAAAAAAAAAAAAATCGGAAAAAAATTGAAACAACTAAATTTTTAATAATTCAACACAGAGAACTAAAGTCGTTTGGTTAATAATGGTAATCCTTGTTCTACACACATACATCTATACATGCATATGTATGGCTATGTATGTGTGTGCTGTGTAAATATTTATTGTAATCCTTTATGGGTTTTTGGGGCTTTGTGGTTTGATTTCAACACTTGAATATTTTTTTTTGTTTTGTTTTTTTTTTCGCCACACAAATAGGTGTTTTGAAACACTTTCGTTTTTTTTGCGCAAATGTTGCTATTTTTTGTTGTTGTTGGCTTGGGAGCTTGGTATTATTCCGTTGTGGTATTCTTTTGATATTTACTGGTGGTTTAGTTTTTTTTCTATTTTTTATTTGATTTTTTTTTTTTTCAAAATAGGGGGCGAACAATTGTTTTTTTTTTTTTCTCGAATGGTGTGTATGCCTGCTTGGTTTACCGCTTTGAACAACACGTTGGATTTGAATTAGGGTTTGAAACAGCGATGCATTGCTTTTTATAACAATTACAGATGATGCTGATGCTAATGCTGCTGCTCCGGCCACCGCAGCAGCAGCAGCAGCGTCAACAACATGAACGTTAGTTGGAGTCAGAAACAATAGCCGCAGTTCGATCATCTTCATTGTGGCTTTGCAACGTCTCAACGTCCCGGCTGAGACACAGCGAACGTCAACGTCAACCAAATGCTGCCAATATTTAAACTGGAGTTGCCAACAGAGTAGTAGTGCCAAACTCACATTATTTTCAAATTAAATCAAAATCTCCAACATCATGGCCCACAACAACAAGGTGCTGTGCTCCTCTCCTCAAAGCATGGCTTAGAAACAGAAAAAAAGCGCCGTCAACAATGAAATGCTACATTAAGGCCACCTTATTCGCGATTGGAAACGGGAAAAACAATGCATTCTCAGAGATGTGGCACAGTGGGGGGTGATAAAAATAAAATTCTTAAAAAAAATAATTTTAAGAAAAAAAAAAAAATATATTTTCAAGGAACTGCCGACAAACGTCCTAATTTCGATTTTTTAAGAATCATATTCAAGGTATGGCACAGTGGGGGAGTTAAAAAAAAATTAAAAAAAAATAATTTAAAAAAAAATAATAAAAATATATTTTTAAGGAACTGTAAACAGACCTCCTAATTTGGATTTTTTGTGGATTTATGTGGCACAGTGGGGGAATTGAAAATATAATTCTTAAAAAAAGAATTTAAAAAAATAATAAAAAAAAATATTTCCAAGGAACTGCAGACAGCCCTGCAAATTTCGATTTTTTTAAGAGTCATTTTCAAGGACTTTTGCAAGGAAACAATGCATTCTCAGAGATGTGGCACAGTGGGGGAGTTAAAAATAAAATTCTTAAAAAATAAGAATTTTATAAAAAAAAAATATTTCCAAGGAACTGTAGACAATCCTCCTAATTTCAATTTTTTAGAATCATTTTCAAAGACTTTTGCAAGGAAACAATGCATTCTCAGAGATGTGGCACAGTGGGGGAGTTAAAAATAAAATTCTTATAAAAAAAAATTTTAAGAAGAAAAAAATATTTTCTAGGAACTGCCGACAAACCTCTTAATTTCGATTTTTTTAAGAGTCATATTCAAGGTTTTTTGCAAGGAAATAATGCATTTTCAGAGATATGGCACAGTGGGGGAGTTAAAAATAAAATTCAAAAAAAAAAAAAAAAAAAAAAAAAAATTAAATTAAAACAAATATTTTCAAGGAACCTCCTAATTTTTTGAAAGTCATATTCAAGAACTTTTGCAAGGAAACAAAACATTCTCAGAGATGTGGCACAGTGGGGGATGTTAAAAATGAAAAAATTCTCTGCATTCTCAGAGAAATAAAATTCTTAAAAAAAGAATTAAAAAAATATTTTCAAAGAACTGCAGATAGCCCTCCTGATTTCGATTTTTTTAAGAATCATTTTCAAGGAATGTTTTAAAAACATTACATTCTCAGAGATGTGGCACAGTGGGGGAATTAAAAATAAAATTCTTAAAAAAAAAGAATTTTAAGAAAAGAAAAAAAAATATTTCTAAGGAACTGCCGACAAACCTCCTAATTTCGATTTTTTTAAGAATCATATTCAAGGACTTTTGCAAGGAAACAATGCATTCTCAGAGATGTGGCACAGGGGGGGATGTCAGAAATAAAATTCTTAAAAAAAAATTAAGAAAAAAAAAAATGTTTCCAAGGAATTCCAGAAAGCCCTCCGGATTTCGATTTTTTTAAGAGTCATGTTCAAGGACTTTTGCAAGGAAATAATGCATTCTCAGAGATGTGGCACAGTGGGGGAGTTAAAAATAAAATTCTTCAAAAAAAAAAAAAAAAAAAAAATTAAATTAAAACAAATATTTTCAAGGAACCTCCTAATTTTTTGAAAGTCATATTCAAGAACTTTTGCAAGGAAACAAAACATTCTCAGAGATGTGGCACAGTGGGGGATGTTAAAAATGAAATTCCTAAAAAAATTTAAGAAAAAAAAAAAAAAAATAAATAAAACGAATATTTTCAAGGAACTGCCGTCAAACCTCCTAATTTCGATTTTTTTTTTCGAGATGTGGTACAGTGGGTATGTGTGGGAGCTAAAAATGAAAGTCCTAAAAAAATTTAGATTTTATTGAAAAATGTCCAAGGGTTCCTTTAGAAAATATTTTCAACGAACTGCAGGACCCCATAAATTTGATATTTTAAGAAACATATTCAAGGACTTTTTTTAGCAACATTTGCAAGGATCATCTAACTACTAACCAGTGACTTCTTCAAGAAACAAGTCCAAAAACTTTTTAAATTTATTTTTAAAGGCCTGTAGACCATTGAAAGCATTTTTAGGATTTCCTTTTTTGCAAGGACTTCTGGAGAAATACATTTAATGGAGGAGTTTTTTAGAATCCTTATCAAATACCAACAGATAATTTTGTAAAAAAAACTGATGGCAACCTACAGAGTAGTTTAAATAAGTTTTTCAAGATCCTCGTTCTTTAAAAGGTCATAGATTTTGGTTCTGGACTATACAGTAGATTTTTTAAGACCAAAAATTGGATTTTTTTAATTAAAAGTTTAAGAGGACCAAAACACTTTTATAATTTTTAAAAAGGTTATCAGAGCCAAAAAAATCAGTTATTTCTTAAAATATTTTTAAGAAATATTTTTCAAAAAAAAAAAAAAAAATAAATAAAATAAAAAAATGGAAATTTAAAAATCTTAAAAAAATTCCTAAAAATATCCCAAAAAATTATACAGTAGATTTTTGAGAAAATAATTAAATTACATCTTATTTCTTATATTTTCTGAATTTTTTGAAACGGATATCAGGGACAAAAGCAAATTTTTTAAAGTTTAAATTTTTAAAAATTAAATATAAAAACAAAAAAATAATTAAAAAATGTTTTGAAGATGTATTAAAAAGCCATTGCATAATGGACCACATCCAGCATTATCCTTTAACCCAATACCAAATTTAGTACCATTTAGTACTTTTCGTACAAATACAGGACGCATTTCCATACTCACGCCAATTTTCTCAAGCAAAGATACCACCAGTAATTTAAATATTAAAATTCATAATTTTATATCTACCCCTTTACCTAATAATCAATTTAGTACCATTTAGTACCTTTTCCTACAATTATAGTACAAATTTTCGGAACAACATCTCTATGGCATGTCTAGAAATGAACAGCGACATTTAACCAAATTTCAGATTTCCAGTTCAATCTGCTCACTATTTAGCTATTTAGTACATCTCGATCAATTATAGTACACATTTCCAAAACAGCGTCCATATCTAAATTCCAGACACCAACAGATACCTCAATATCAATTTTTGGGATTCCAGGTCTATCATTTCACCCAATACCAAATTTGGTACCATTTAGTACTTTTCGTACAATTATAGAACACATTTCCGGAATCACCTACACATACCAAAATTCCATTATTCAAGCAATATCTGTTCACCTTGATATTGGGTGAATTGTACCAAATATAGTAACATCTAGTACAGTTCGTAGACCTCAAAGACCTCAATATCAAATTTGAGGTTTTCACGCCTATCCCTTCTTCCAATAACAGATTTCAAGCACTATCTCTATATCCAATACCGAATTGTACGAAATATAGTACTATTTAGTACTTTCCGTACATGTTTCCAAAAAACCACCTATTTATCATAAACATATCAACAACAGGGACCTCAATACAAAATTCCAGCTTCATACGTTCATCCCAAAACCAAACTGTAGCTCTAAATTAAGTACCATTTAGTACTTTTCGTACAATCATAGTACACATTTTCAAAACAACCTTCATTATATCAAACGTACCTTCCACCCATAGCTTCACATACCAAATTGGAAATTTTTGACTCTATCCGTTCACATAATACCAAATGGTACCATTTTAGAAGTGTAGTACCATTTTTGGATTTTTCGTAATCTTAGGGTTCGAATTTCCAAAAACCCTTTGGGTGCAACTGCTCTGCACTCCATTAGTGTCTCTCATTCATTCAGAATTCTAGCTCATTCAATTTATAGTACCATTCAGTACTTTTTGTACAATTATAATACACATATCCGAAAACACCTCCATCTGTCCAGGCTACACATAAACATCATCCCTAAGACCAAAATCCGGATTTCAAGCACGGTCTGTTTACCTAATCCCAAATTGTACTATTTTAGAAGTATAGTCCCATTTTAGAATCTAACACCTTAAACCCTTTGAATTTCCAAAAACCCTTTTGTTACATCTATTCTTCACTCTATCAGAGATCCTCATACCAAATTTCAGAATTCTAGCTCATTCCGTTTGTCCAACACAATTTATTCTATTTTCAGTTCATTTTAGTACTTGTCGTACCATTTTTTCACACAAAATGTATTGTATATTTTACCCTCTAAATATTATCCAATGACTATCAAAATTGGTTGGCTACTGCTCTGCCCTAAACCCTAACTTCAAACGAAATTTCGTGCCGATTGTTCCACAAGTGTGACCTGTAAAGCAACAGGGATATCAGTGAACTTTTCTGTTTTTGGTCTCTAAAGATTTTGCAAACATCCCTTCCCCAAATTTAGGCAAAAATTTCGTGAGGATCAGGCCATAATTGCAACCTGTAGTGGGATTACAAATTACCATGGACACACATGAGTAGATCGACTTAGCTAGGCGAGAAGGGAAGATCCGTAACTAACATAATTGGTTTGAAATTGGCCCATATTTAAGCCCTCTGATGTGGCCCATTTCACCCTCTAAACATTATGCGATGGCCACCCAATTTTGTAGGCTTCTGCCCTGTCGTAAACTCTTACCTCATGAGAAATTTCCTGCCGATTGCTCCGAAATTGCGACCCGTAGAGCAAAGAAAATATCAGGAATTTTATCTGCTTCTGTTTCATTTCAACCTCTTAATTTTTTGCCATCATCTCCCCCAAAAATAGGCTTCT